CCTCGTGGTGTCAGTTTTGCCTTTCTTTTAACTGGTAAGGTGGTCACTCGTTGATTTTGCGTCTTTGGAAGTGCGCGGCACTCTGAACGGAATGCATTGCAATGACCGCCAAGTGTCTTGTACTTGATAGTGGCGTCTGGCAAGGAGGGCGACCATGGAGCGGTTATTCTCTCAGGAGGTACATCCAACTGTGGGGAGCTGTGGGTGAACTTGTGGCTTGTGGATGTTACGTTAGCAGTTGTTGAACGCCTTGGTTGACGGGTATTAATAGTAATGTGAGATTTCCCTAGATTGACCTTAACGTGGGTGGAGGATGAGTCGGCCTTCTTGTTATTTCTTAAAATCGTCTGGGGGCGAGGGTGCAGGACGCTGCATGCCAACGAGTTCTTAGAAACTTTATGTGCTTGTGTGCTTGCTCGTAGGCGAGGTTGCGGGTATGGCGGTGGTATTGGACGTGATGAGGGTAGTGGTCTCTTTGGCAGAGCCTTTGAAGCACCACTGGTTGTGGGATTCATGCCGGACAGTCCCACTCGACCGCTAATGCTGCGGAAAAACTCGAGCGTAGAAATAGGAGTGATGACAATGGAGGTCCGTTTTGATGTAGCCATGGAAGCTGATGTCTTCGAGGAGGTGAAAATACGGCTAAAGTCCTTCTTTCCAGTGATAAACTGCTTGTGAATAAAGCCCCGAAGTTTTGTGTTTTTTCCATCTACAGCACCTGCATTCACACGATTTCCCCTGCTGTTGCCACTCACGCACCTACTGCTTCCAATCTTCTCTTCACAGCACGACTTCATTGCGTTGTGATGTCCAGACAATACTATTCAAATGTGGTCACATGGACCGATAATCCGCACGTCACCTTTACACCGTCTATAGGGACAACAAATTAGGTCAGGTGATTCAACATTCTCGTGTCTGACATGTTACCTCCCTAGTACGACCCTTCAGTGCTCTAGTATGCTGTGTGGGTCGGACTGGATATGTTCTTAAATACCTTATGCCTATAGCTAAAATGCCTATTCAAAAAAGT